TTTGGGTCCATCTGTCCATTTTGGAAGAAAAAAGAAAGGAAGGAAGGAGAAGAAAAACGCCTAAGATGGCATTTTGCCTCTTGGCTCCTGAAGACCCCTGTGCCCACACACAGTGCATCTTGCGCCCAGGGCCAGTCTTGCTCTCACTGCCCAGCAAAGTCTGTGGAGCTGGAGGTATTGTGACGGCTGCTATTCTTTCGGATTGAAAAGTACGTAGTTCACTAATAGGCTCACTGCTTCCTTCTGTCAACCAAAAGAAAGTCCATCTTCCCTTTCTTCTACCTGAGTCTACGGCTGCCTGTCAAACAGGCCATTTTTGTACCTTGCTTGACCAAACGCTTGCTTTTTTAAATTCTTGCTAAAGGTTATTTCCCACCGGCGGGCATGGGGCAGTAGCCGACTAGCCTTTCACTAGGTCCTCCCAGGACACTGCTGGTCAATGGGTGGATCGTGTCTCTGCCCTTTGCCTGCTCCCCCTGACCCTTGGCCTGTTATAATCCCTTAGCTACTAAGGCAACACAGCATTGGAAACTGCTCAGAAGGACCTAGGGGACCCTGGTGGTGAGCACACGTTGCGTGCTAACCACAAGGCTCGCAGTTTGAAGCCGACAGGCGCTCCTTAGGAGAAAGGTGAGGCAGCCTGCTTCCAGAAAGATCTAGGGAGGAGTTCCACTCTATCTTACAGGGACTCGATGCGTCAAAAGAGACTCAATGGCACTAGATGGGACGACAAGGGAGTCTGAAAGCGAGAACCTAGATTTGAATACTGGTTCTGCTTCTTCTTAGCAAGATGCTCTCGGGAAAGCAGACTTTTTAACCCTGTGTTTATTTGTCAGTAGAAGGGATAGAATAACCACACTGGTTACTTGTAATGCCTTTTTTAAGATGTTGCCTGTTACAATGGTTATTATTTTTAAAAATACTAGCTGGAAAGAGTCTCTGTAGATGGAGTTGTAAAAATGTCAGCAAGTAGGTTGATCTTTCAAAAGGGTTATTTAGATTGTATTTTGTCCTGCAATAAACCCTTCCAAGCTCTAGTGCTTTAAAGTAGGGATTTGTATACTGTGGCTCATACGCCCACGGCCCGTTTTCGTTAATAATGTTTTATGGCTACACAGTCATTCATTTACATATTTTCTACATCTCCTTCGGGCTATCAGGGTAGAGTTGAGTAGCTGTTACAGAGACAGTATGGCTCACAAGCCTAAACCATTTACTGTCTGATCCTTTAAAAAAAAAGTTTGCTCACCTTGGTTTAAAACTTCAACGATGTATTATTGTGCCTGAAAATTCTGTGGGTTGATAAGCAGGGCAAGTGACAGCAAGGCCGGCCTGGTGCGACTCTGTGCCTCACTGAGAGAAGAGGAACTAAGTATGGGAAGGGCCCGCCCGAGGAAACCAAGAGCCCAAGTGTCTTCAGATGGTTTCTTTTTTGATGAGCTCACTGGGGATCGTTCCGGCAGCAGCATCTGATGCTTTGAGTGGGGCCAAGGTCTTTGAGCATCTTGCTCATGTCTAGCAACTGATGACGCACTGTCAATCGGGGCGTCTTTATTGCACCCTCCCGGGCCCCTCCTCTTCTTCTTTGGGAGTAGACTACACTGCATTCTTCACGGCATGCTGATCCTAGGGTTCCAGAAGAGATGCGCAGGAATGCAAAGTCTCTCAGCGCCCCGTCTCTAGAACTTTCACAACAGGATCTTCATCAGAGTCTGTTGGCCGTATAGCAAGGGAGTATCCTAGCCAGATTCAAGGGAAGGAGAAATAAGCCCTGTTTCTTCATGACAGGAGCAGGGACATGGCATTGCAAAGGGGCATGAATACAAACTAGTCTGAGCGCGCGGGACTGTAAGAATATGATCGACGATGGCCTGTTGGGTCTGTGAATTGTTTCGGTGAGGCCTACAACTGGCTTGCATTTTGCAGAAATGGAACTGTGCTGTTGAATGATCATGGTGCCACTATTTCATAAGCCTTTCTGTGGTTCCCTCTCCCTGGCAGGTCTTCTCAGGGACACGAAAAGCCGAGGCCCTCCCCCACACTCGCAGACGTGGAGAAGTGGTGAGAAGCTCTCTTTGGGGCAGACACATGCTTCAAGGACATTTGAAAAACCCCCTCAGGTGCAGACCCAGGCCCTTCGAGACTTTGAGAAGGTAAGTCCCAAAGGTGGATACTTGTGGTGCCACTAGAAGCAGTACCCGGAATATTTTTATGTCTTAAGAAAACCTGGCCTGTAGATTAGTCTGATTAGGAGCCATGTCTGTCCTGGTGACATAGTGGTTATGCCTTGGGCTGTGATCTGAAAAGTCACCAGTTGGAAACTACCAGATGCTCCTTGGAAGAAAGATGGGGCTTTTTACTCCCGTCAAGAGTTCCAGTCTCAGAAACTCACAGAGGCAGTTCTAACCTGTCCTGTAGTGTCGCTGAGTTGTCAATGGCTCGATGGCAGTGAGCTTTTGAGTTACCATAATGGTGTCTCTTTTCAGTGTATATGTCTCAATATGCCTTGTGTTGGGGGCTGTGATTCACAGACCGTTAACTGTACTAATGAATTTGGTATTCACTGTGTATATGACTAATTAACTTTTCACATAGTCTCAGTAAGTTTCAATGGCGCCCTTGAGAATCTTAACTGGACCACAGTGAGCCAGAAAACCCAATCCAGTCTATTATGATTATATTTTATGTTGCTGGATTGGACCACTCTAAAGACCTGGGCACTGTCTGTAGTATAAGGTGACTTAACCCCAACCATTTTCTTCTCAATAAGAAGAGTGTTGCTTGAAACTCTTGAACTATTCTGTCTCTTGATGTGTTTGTCCTTAGATTTGGTCCAGAGCAATGACTGATTTTATAGTAGAGGTCACCTGCTCCTGTGCCCTGGGCTGTTCCCAAGTTCTCTGCCTGGTAGGACCTATCCTCTGGCGTTTAAATGGCCCAGAGAGGGAGACCCAGGATTTGTTATACCATTGTGTTCTAAAACAGGAAATGGCTCTTTGGTGACCTCCGGGGATGCCCAAGGCCAGACACATACAAGTGATGCATAAATACTGAGATAATTTGGTTTCTTTCTTAATTGAGTTGATAGCTTTTGACAAATAATGAAGTTCTATTTTTAAAAAGATGAATATATCAGTGTTGATATGACTTTTCCCAGACCTATTAAGGTAATTTTTCTCAATTTTTAAATAGACATCTTCTGCTTGGAGTTAAGGTAAACCCTGCCAGAAATTCCTGTGAGCCAAAAATATGCTCCTTAGAGTATGTCCCTGAGAATTGAACCGCGAACTCTTGGTCTCTTTTATTAAGGGCTGTCATGGATACTGAGAGATAGAGACAGGGAGGGAGGGACAGAGGGCAAGAGAGGGAGAGAGAGCATGAGAGAGAGCACTACCTTGTAGAAATATCAAGTGGCTTTTCAAGATTAAACCTCTGAGCAGTTGTGTGGTGGGAGTGGGGGTGTCTGTCTCCCAACTCCTGCCTCTCTGTTCACCCTGTGGTTCCACTACAACATAGATAGGGGGAGCAGAGCTGCGGAGCTACCCACGGTTGGGTAAAGTGTTCTGTGGAAGATAGTCTGCCCACCCCATTGCCCTCCTGGCTGAAAGATGGTCTGGAGCAGACGTGTGTGGATGTTGCCTTCACGGTGGGATGAATGCCGGGGACTACGGGAGAGGTACAACATGGACTAGGGCGGAAGTGAGCGGGGGCAAACTGAGTTTCAGAGGTGACGTCTTAAGTGCTTTTCTCTTAAAATTCAGGTCTGATTTGCTGATTAGTCCTTACTTCTCAATGCTGGGAGCCATTGGCAGAAATCAAACCAGGAAGCAGAGGAAAGCCCACTAAGAGTTACTTTAAATCTCTCTCTCTCAAGCATAAAGTAACAAATGGAGAGAGCTGCAGAAAGCTCATGGAAAAATTCCAGTGTCTTTTAAATCCCTATTTCAGGGGACAAAGTATTTTAAGTACCCCCATAGATAACAACAAGAATAAGACATACTTCTTTGTCAAAAAAAGCATTACCAATAAGTTGAACCGCAACATGGTGTGTTAGTCTGAGTTGTCTAGAGAAACAAATTCATAGACACTCATATGTGTATAAGAAAGAACTTTATATAAAAGAGCAATTGAATATTGAGAAAACATCCCAGCCCAGTCCACATCAAGTCCATAAGTCCGATATTAGCCCATCTGTCCAATACCAATCTATAAATTCCTCTTCAGATTCACGAAACACATGCAATGACACCAAATGCGGAAGGAACACAGACCAGTGGGTGGGAAGTCTTGTGGATCCAGTGGCAGTGGAAGCATCTCAGCATTGACAGG